ACTACTGCTGCATTACTCTTCTAGGGGTTAATTCCCAATCCCTAACAAGTGTTCCAATATTTGAACAGCTGTCAGAGAGGAGTGGGTCAACCTATTTCCCAAAGCACCTGAAGGCCAGACAAGGAATAATGGATGGAAACTGACCAAGGACAGATTCAACCTAGAAATAAGGAGAAATTTTCAGACAGTGAGAATAATCAACCAGTGAAACAGCTTGCCTTCAGAAGTTATAGGAGCTTCATCACTGGAAGCTTTCAAGAAGACTGGACTGCCATCTGTCAGAAATGGTGTAGGGCAGGGCTGTCAAACTCCCAGCCCATGGGCCAGATGCGTCATGCACTGGCCACACCCCCACCTGCTTTAGCAAAGGGGGGGGGAAGTCCCGATATGTCACGTGAGTTTGACACCCCTGATGTAGGGTCTCCTGCTTGGGGGGGGGGGGGGGTTGGACTAGATGTCCTGTAAGGTCCCTTCCAACTCTGTAATTCTGTTCTGTTCTTATTCTGCTCTAGCTTCAGAGCCTCTTTATGACTGTTATTGCCTTGGGGTTTTGTGGCCTCCAGCTTATTTTGTAAAGGCTGGCTACCCATCAGAATAGGGAGAAAGAGACTACAACAGCCCTCTTAATCAGCTGATCCCCATTTGTCTCCTGCATGAAAGTAAAACTCTGACTAGGTTCAGCTTTTCAGAATTTTCCTGGTTTTCACAAGTATCTACCATGACATTAGAATCACTGTTATGTTTGTTTTGAAAATTGCAATTAAAATTCTGTTAGAGAGTTGATGTATTAAATTATATACAAAGGCTCTTTTCAAAATCACACTCTAACTTGGCCCAATTTCTTTACCAAAAGTGTCAGTAGTACATAAGCATATGTACTGAGTTTTTATAAACACCTTTTGCATCACAACCCGTTTTCTCCAAAAAGTCCTTGGGAGTCAGAGGTATCTGCAGAATTTGAAATGTTCACCAAATTGACAAAAACACAAGTCGCTTGTGACACAAGCTCTGCCATATTCAGCTGTTCATGTGATGTAATGATACATGTTCAAAAGGAGTTTTGTTATTTCCATCCCCCCAACACCGTGCTTCTGCCATGAGCACCAGTAAAGAAATGAGGTTCTGAGTTTTTATGCTTTCCATTGGGTTGGGCATACTACCAATAGTGGCAGTTGTATTCGATATTGTCTGGGTATGCCAATGTACTCTATAATAAGTCTTGTTTTCAATTGCTCTTGGCAATTGAAAACAAGACTTATTGAAGTGAATCTCCAGATCTTTCCTAGAGATTGAACACTGTCTACTTTTGCCCAACATGTCTGATGGATCTGTTAGAATATCCCGAAGATACAGGGGGAAAAGCTGCAGACAAGACAATATATTTTATTTTTTTATTTATTTGATTTGTCAATCGCTTCCAAGATAATAGGTATAAGTATATACATAGTTATGAATACATGAAATGGGTACATATAAGAAAAATAAAAGAAACAGGGACGGTAGGCACATTGGTGCGCTTATGCACGCCCCCTACAGACCTCTTAGGAAAGGGGTGAGGTCAATCGTAGACAGTCTAAGCTTAAAGTTTTTGGGGTTTGGGGAAGAGACTATAGAGTCAGGTAGAGTATTCCAGACATTGACCATTCTGTTGCTGAAGTCATATTTCCTGCAATCAAGTTTGGTGCGGTTAACCTTGAGTTTTTATCTATTGTGTGCTCTTGTGTTGTTATGGTTGAAGCTGAAGTATTCATTGACAAGTAAGTCATTGCAATGTATGATTTTATATACCATACTTAGATCAGACCGAAGACGGCGTAATTCAAGGTTTTCTAGGTCTAGAATTTCAAGTCTGCTGGCATAAGGTATTCTACGAGTAGAGGAGTGGAGAACTCTTCTTGTGAAATATTTCTGGACTTTCTCAACTGTGCTGTCTCAAACTTGACTATTGCAATGCACTCTGTGTGGAGCTTCCCTTGAAGATCACCCAGAGGTTTTAACTGGTCCAGATTGCAAGGGCTGGGCAGTTTCCTTCCAGATGCAATTCAAGGTGCTTGGTTGCTATTCTATAAAATCTTACATGGCATAAGGCTATCTTTCTGCATGGTTGCTTTGATCTGGTAGGGTTGGTGTGCTCTGGGTTCTTGGGCCCCTGAAATGTACTCTGTCATAGCAGCTACCTTCTGGAATGAGGTTCCTCCCACTTGAGATCTTGGTGGATCCCACCCTACCAGCATTTCTGAAAGGCCTCAAAAGTCCTTGCTCTTTGGCTAGGATGGGTGTAGCCCCTTTCAAGGAAGAGGGGTGTGTTTGCTGCTGCTTGATTTTCCCATTATTGGTCTTCCTTTATTGCTGTATTGTTTTATTGTTTTATAGTTCTTATGCCTTCTTGTGAATCCCTCAGAATCACTGAAGCAATGCAAACCTTGAATAATATAAAATTAAACAAACAAACAAAAGCACTGAATTTCCACCCCAAATGCTTCCCATTGCTACCATTCCTTTGTTCTATTGAAAAATCCCTTTGAATTTACAAAGGTGAAATGCTGGCCTGTCAGCAATTTTGCAACTAGCAGCTTTTGGATTGGGGGATTGAGAATATGAGGTCTAAACAAAGCACATTGAAGCAGTTGAATTCCAGGAACAGGAAACAAAAGATCCATAGGAGGTGGGGAAAGAAATAGGTGTTTTTTTTGCTCAGGAACTCGGTAAGAGTTTCTGCCCAGAAGATCTGCAGTCACAAGGGAAAATACCAGTTTTACTTCATATTCCAATAAGATGGAGCAAAATCAGTAATCAGTCAATACAGCTACCAGTGACAGATTAGATTTTTAAGATCAGCCGGGTCCACAGCCAATCCCAAAGCGCATAGCATTGGTTTAGAGGTGCCTGTAGTTCCCCCTCATTGATTCTTTTCATGTTTTCTAATTAGGGCTACACTTCAAATTCAGAAACCTGGTTGTAAATACTATAATTAGGCAAATACCTTGTGAAGATGATAAGACAGAATTTATGTTAGTCTCACTTTTGTACAAATGGCTCTACCATTATTTTTTTGGAGGGAGGGAGGCACAATTTGAATGCTAGTTCTATCCAGCAAGATCTTAGATAGATTGATCCTACCTTATTTAAGGTGTGACTGGGCAGAACTAATATTCCCTAAAGCATTGTCTTTATCACTATGAGAATTAAGATTTTCTGGTGAAACATTTCTTTTTAATCAAGCTTGTGCCGTGTAGTCCTTGACTTACAACAGTTCATTGACTGTTCAAAGTGACAAATGCACTGAAAAATGTGACTTACAGCCATTTTTCACGGTTAGGCTGTTTGCCACATCCCCATGATCACGTAATCAAAATTCAGATGGTTGGCAACTGGTTCATACTTATGACCATTGCTGGGTCCCAAGGTCATGTGATCATCTTTTGCAACAGAAATTCTGGGCTCAACTGTGTTTGTAAGTCAAGGACTACGTGTATTTTATTATTTACTCTTGGTTGTGATTTTGAATATGCACTGCTATAATGGGA